CAGTGATGGACCTCCTGCATCTTCCAGCAGCCCCAAGTCAGGCATCGAGCAACAGGACAGTTTGAACACAGGACACATTCCTCTCCATGAGTCAGGGAACCAGAGCCTTCCAGCGAAATGCATTGTTGCTTGGAGGACCTGGGATTCCTTTCCCACACAACCATAGTAGAGATATACTGTGTAAAATAGACTCTTCAAACCAAATCGAACACTCAGACACATTTCTTCTCTGTTCCAGACAACCAACCTGCAAAGAAATGTGTGGAGCACAGCCCTCCTATTTTTGACATCCCCTTTCTTCTCTTCATTCTAGAGCTCGCCTTCTGATGTCCGAGGTTTTTGTTCCCCATTAGCCAGCCAGTCTATATGGTCTCAGGTAAAGAGAAGGGAGGCAAAAATACCTGGCTTCTTTCTTCTTAGGGTTCTTGGTTCAGTCTCCTAGTAGTGACTCTCGGATGGTCCTTAAACCAAGCATCTCAATCATCCTAGCCAGCTACTTCCCACCTGTCCCCTTTGAATCCCATGCCTCCGTTGCCTCCTCTTACAACAACGACCACAGAAGCCACCTTTGCCCAGACTTGCCCTGGCCATCCCTTCAGTGGTTCCTGTTACCTTGCTTACTACACATAGAAGAAGGTCCCAGCTGAGAAGCTGAGAGGGAAGAATACTTATAAGACACTGGCCCTTGCAGATGATTAGTGGACTCTTCCTGAGCTTGTATCTTGTAAATGGTGAAGGTCATCAATATTCAAACCAGCTTCTTGAGTCGGTGGCATGGTTTTCAGGGTGCACAAAGGGGATATTCAGAGGAAGGGAGACCAGGTCAAGATCATCCTCAGTGGCCATTCTCACTGTACCCTCTGGACATTCCCTCTGCAGACCTGCTTCTCAGTGGCCTGTCATCCAGACAATGACCTTTAACAGGCCAGCTTGACTTTCAGGCCTTGCAGTGTTTGCACATTATGTAACGTCTGCTTCAGGAGAAATCTTACGGAAACAAATGGAGGAAGTTTGCCAGTCCAAGGAGTGGATAATAAATCCTGCCCTGTCTAGATAGAAACTGATTTTCTGTATCCTTTACTGCATACACATATTTTGTTGTTGTTGTTGCTGTAAGGTCTAAAAAATTCAAGGAATCAAAATATTCAAGTGTTTCAAACACTGTTGCCCTTTGGCAGAGATGGCATGTCCCTTCCTGCAGGCTGAGATTCTGGGCCTTGGCCTTCTTCACCAGCCTGAGTCTTGACCCCTCTTTTCCCATCCAGCGCTCAGAGGAGAGTAGCCCGTGTTCAGTTAGCATATCTTAGAAACTTCACTCGTGCTCCTTTGTTCACCTTATGCAGCTGGGTTGTTTCAAACGTTCTTTTTAAAGAAAATACATAGGGGGTTTTTTTCTTTAATTTTAATTCTGGAATGTTTGCTACTACATATTTTCTTTACATGTTCTTCTGTTTCAGGAGAAGTAGACTTTTCACTGAGACAGCTAAATTGGATTTTCTGATCAAAGCTAAAAGCAAATATATTTTAGCTTAGCAGTATCACAGGTCAAGATAATTAACTTTAAAAAATATTCTAGGGCCTTTTTGTTAGTTAGGTCAAATTGATGTTTTAATTCCTTTCAGTTACCTAACTAGAAAACCAGTGCAGAGACAAAGGGCATGCCTGGCAGGCTACGTCAGTCTGTGCGTCCGTTCTCGTAAGAGGGACTTTCATAATCTCTCCTTTCTTTAACCAATATGGAGGTGACTTTTGAAAACATGTACAGTGCTATGAAAGGAACCAAACTGTTCAATGAACTGACACATAAGCTTCACTAAAGAACCACACATTTCTTCTCAGAATATGTCTCACTCAATCCCAGAATAATTTTTGAGTAACACAAACTAGACTTCCATGTTAGCTATTCTCTCCTTTATGTGTGTAGCTGAGGAAAATTCATTTATGAAAGTCAGCTGCAACCTTCATGGTTCATGGAAGTTTAGCCTAAAATTTAACAATGAAGGAAAAGGTTTTCTGTGTGTATGTGGTCAGGATTAAGGACAAAAAGTAATCTGATATGGCACTAGAATATTATCTTGGTTGTAGAATTAAATGACTCGAGGTTTTATTATTTTTTTCTGAAGACATTTTTACATATATATATATATTTAAATTATCCACCACTTTAAAAAATGTACTTTAAAAAAAAATAATAATAACTGAGTTGTGTTTTTCACTCTTTGTCACATAGATAAGATGCTCTACTTGCAGACTAAATGGATGTTTATAATAACCAAACTCTTGGCTTATGGAGAAACATAATACATTGTGTAAATAATAAACTTTTCTCCAAGTTCTACAGAAATTTTAGAATAGGAGAATTACGTTTTCAAGTTTGGCTCTCAGATTGCTAAAAGCCACATTGGGCACCATTAGGAAAAGATGGCATACAATCTGGAGACAAATAAAGAACACCAAAGAACTCCCCTGTAAGAAGACTTCCCCTGGTTTCTGAACATATCTAGTCCTGCTTCATCTCCTGACAGACTTTCCTCGTTTGTGCCCTCGGAGTGCCCAGCCTTGGTCAGCCGAGCAGATCTGTCTGGGTGGAACTCTGCTGGAGTGGGGGACACACGTCTCAGGGCCATCCAGTTCCACAGTCTGTCCTCAACCCCAAGAACTTTGCTACCATGCAGGCCTGCTTGGCCGGCACGTCCCTACCTCCCCTGCATTCAGCAACATCTTGCCAGCCTCATGACCAGTCCGAAGATGCGCTAGGAGGGCTGTCCCTGGCAAGGTTCCTTTCCAGTCAGCTCCTACCTGCCCCTGCCAGGGAGTCCTAGCAGTATAGACATGGAGGGCTGCTGCCCCATTCTGCCCCAGCCAACTCCAGAATCTGATGGGACAGCCTCAGCCCCTGTGCAACGACCAAGAGCATCCAAGAAATTCAAAGAACCCATCTTTACTTTCTTCAATCAGCTGGGATTGAGTTTAGCTGTAGATAACAGAAAGCCATATTACCGTGGCCTAAACAGGAACCTCTTTTTCTCATGCACCAGGAAATCTAGAGGTAGACAGTCTAGAGGTAAATAACATCTAAATGGTGCCATCGGGGACGTGGGTTCTTTCTAGATCTTCACTCCTTTGTCCTTTGCACCTAGACCTTTATTTACATGTTGTCATCTCGTGATCACATGATGACTTCGGCCCGTCTAGGCCTCCTGTCTGACATTCAGACAGATGAAGGGGAAGGAGGGTAAAAGCAAAGGCTTATTCCTGATGAGGCTCTGGCTTGCTTAGAAAGAGAAGTCCTCCCCCCAAGAACTTGGACACAGTAGACTGTTAGCCAGAACTATCAACCACCTTAGCTGTAAGGGACATGAAGTTGTATGTTTTGACTTTCTCATGGCTCTAGTAGAGAAAATAAGGATTTTTTAAAATTAATTGTTGGGTAGGTACATAGTATCTACTACATCACCAAGTTCGTCCTGGGACTTATCTTTCATGGACTTAATTATAACTTGCCCCACTCAGATTGCAGAAGCTGATAATAATGAATAAAATAGAATATTAGACTCCTCGGTGAGCTTTTTTTAGCACCTGTATTTAGATTTGTAATGAAACAAAAGTAAACAATTAAGGGTCTTCTAAATCATTCTCTTTCATATTTTTGTTTCCATTACTCCTGCTTCTAGATATTTCCTTCACTGCAGTGCTTGAAACTCTGAATTCTGCTGGTTTCCAGGAATGCTGTAGACAGTCTCTGCCAAGAGAAATGTGTTTCCCCTTAGGAAATTACACTTCTGCTTGGTATTATTCTTTTTGATCACTGTGTTGTGTTATGAGCAATGCTGAGGAATGAAAAAGATGACTTCTTTGAGGCAATCTTTGGAAAGGTTAACTGGTATTCTGCTGTCTTTTATTTTTAAAAGTATACTTAGATGAGAAATTATCAGGGGGAAAAAGTAGGAATAAAGATGGGGTGAGATACATTCCTTGATGAAAAATTTACTTTTAAAAAATGCAATTCCTTACAAGTTATTTGAATTTTTAAACTTTTTCTAATTCAACAATGACATTACAGACAAGTGTTTAAAACGTAAATGTTTACCCCCGTAAATGAGCATAAAGCCAACCTCCCACCTAACTCTCACCCAGCTCAAGAAGTATATTGCCTGCCTCTCAGAAGCCTCTCTTGTTCCCCTGCATATCCAGAAATCCACTTCTGAGCTCAGTCAGGTAGGTGGTTGGCAAAATCCAGTTCCTGTGGCTTTATGACTGAGGTCCCCATTTTCTTGCTGGCAGTCAGTCAGGGGTCCCTCTCAGCTCCTAGAGGTCACACTTGGGTCCTTTCTACATGAGCTTCACCTTCAAACCAACAGTAGTGTGTTTCAGTCTTCAGTGCTTTGAGCCTCTGACTTCCCCTTCTGCCACCAGCCAGAGAGACTCAGCTTTTGGAGGACTCGTGTGACTCGGTTGAGCCCACCAGGGTGCTCTTCCTTGGAGTCATCTTCACCGTGCAGCATACCTTGGTCTGGGAGCACACTGTCATCATATTCTTGGTTCCAACCACACCCAGAAGGGAGGGGATTCTAGAAGTAATGGTGTCATCTTAGAATTCTGCCTACCACGGACCATCTGTCTTCTGCTCTTTTGAAATGCTACCTTTGTCAAAGACCTATAAAAATGTGTGTCTCTAATTATTATTTGTAAAAATTTGTGCTTTAATCCTGAAGTCATAACAACACGTTGACCAGGTACAATTACACACGTGACATCGGGCCATCATCCTGCCGAACGCTGCTGCCGTGAGGGCCAGGTGAGGGTGAGCGCGGGTTCTTCATAGGACGTGCTCTTGTTTCCAGACACGCGTGCCTCCCAGCTCCGCCGTCAGCCTCGCACTCACGTCAGCCAGCACTTGCCAGAGGGAAAGGGGGATGGGAATTTACCGCAGTTCATTTGACAGTTGTGTTTGTCCTGTCTATTCTAAGGCTTTGGCTTTTTTTTTTTTTTTAATGTAGCTAATGCTTTATACCTTGGGGGCCAGGAAATGATGGACGTGGTGAAGAGAGACGACGAAATCATAAAGGAACATTTATCTAAGGTAATCCATTCAGTGCTCTAAGGGAGTAAGTAGATAGGCAGAAATGTTGACTGAAGATGAAAGGCTGGAATTGGTTAGAATCTGTAAGACCTCAAGGGTTAGTAGATTCAGATAGAGTTTTCTACTTCTAGCTAAAACTAACGCTGTGCTCGAATGTTGCATAGAAAGTAAGTAAAGCTGATTGCATGACTAAATATATTTAACCACCTTTTTTTGTTGAGTTTATCTTTAAAATCCTACTTCTTTCTAGGGCCTTGTACTGAGAAGGTTCTCAATAATAATTATAGAATAAATGAGTTATATTAAAATGTAGGGAAAACATTGGAAAAGAACTAACATTACTACAACCCAATGACTCAGTGACCTGTCTTATTCTCCAGTGCATTAGAGTAGGGATGTCCAGCTGACACCAAGACCAGTGTTCTATACAAGCAGGTGCAGAAAGGCAACGATTGAAATATTTATCCTTTGTGAGTTTCTGCTGCAAATGCTAGAATCTTTTTTTTTTTTATGGTTAATCCTCATTCTAGGACATTTTCCATTGATTTTTAGACAGAGTGGAAGGAAGAGAGGGAGAGACACATCATTTGGTTGCCTCCTGCACAACCCCCACTAGGGCCAGGGATCAAACCAGCAACACAGGCACGTGCCCTTGACTGGGAATCAAACCCAAGACCCTTCGGTCTACAAGCCAACGCTTTAACCCCTGAGCCAAGCTGGCCAGGGCAAATGCTAGAATCTTACTCAAATATGTAGATGCACAATCTCTGCAACTGTGAGGTCTAAGCACCCTAGAATTTAGGTGGCTCTCATACTCCTGTGGCATCATTTGTCTGTCTGTTCATCTAGACTAGGATAGAGCTACACCATCTGTCCACGCGTGGTTGTTGTGGCTAGTCTGAATTGAGATGCACCGTAAGTGTGCAAACCACGTTGGATTTCAGAAACTTAGTACCAAAGAAAGTAAAATTTTTTTTATTATTTTTGTATTGATTACATGTTGAAATGATAATATTTTAAGATATATTGTGTTAAGTAAAATATATTATTAAAAACAATTTCATCCTGCCCTTGCCAGTATGGCTCAGTTGGTTGAGTGTCATCCCATACACCAAGAAGTCGCAGGTTTGATTCCTGGTTGGGCACATGCCCTGGTTGCAGGCTTAATCCCTAGTAGGGGTGTTCAGGAAGCAGCTGATCAATATTTCTCTCTCGCATTGATGTTTCTCTCTCTCTCAGTCCCTATCTCTCTAAAATCGCTAAAAACATATTTTTTTAAAAAATAATTTTATCCATTCATTTATACTTTTTTTAATGTGGCTACTAGAAAATTTTTAATTCCATGTGTGCTTTTATCTTTCCATTGGCCTGCACTAATTTCAAGCTTTACGGTCAGTGCTGACCTGTGACATCTGCTGAGTGGCCAGGGACCTGTGGTCTGCAAGCAGAACTCCTGGGTTTATAATCTCCTCATGGACTTTGAGACATTGCCCTTAAACTGGCCCATGGTGTCAGTTTACATTTCTATTACCTCCCAGTACAGTTATCTTAAAGCAAGAAGTGTATGTGTTCTTTAAAAAATATTTTCACTCCCTGGCCGGTTTTGCTCAGCGGTTAGAGCCACAGCCTGCAGAGAGACCCGGGTTCGGTTCCCACTAAGGGCATGTACTTCAGTTGCAGTTTGTCCCCGGCCCTGGTTGGGTTGTGCGGGTGGCAGCCACTCGATGGATGTGTCCCTTTCACGTCGATGTTTCTCTCTCTCTCTCTTCCTCTTTCTCCCTCCAGCTCTCTCTGAATTAAAAAAAAAAAAAAAATGAAAGGGTGTCCTCGGGTAAGGATAAAAAAAAAAAAATTTATAAAAAATATTTTCACGATATGAATCTGTAGTAGCTTCACCCAGAGAGGACTTTAGAAAATGCCAGTTTGTGTTGATCTGTGGTCGTAGTGGTCACTATATTTCTCAAATTGGCTAGAGATTGAAATTTTGGATCCAGAAGAAACCCTCGCTAGCTGAATGGGGTAGTTCGGGGCCTCAGAAGGACCCTGTCTCCAGGGTTTTCCATTTTTTTTCAGTTGTTGAAGGATGTGAAAATACAAGAAAAACAATATCTTGCTTTTCAGTTAAATTATAAGTGAATTTGTTTCAAAAATGCATTTTAGTTCCCAAGGCTGGAAGTTCATGAAAAAACAACTCAGCTCCCCGGTTCATAATAAGACTGGCAGATGCTCACTTCCAAAACTCACACTTGCTGACTGACTAGACCCCTGGTGTGTCCAAGCCCATCCTACACCTGCGGGAGCCAGCTGCTGTAAAATGCTCATCATCCTGGATTCCGGGTGCATGTTGTGCTCAGGAGGTCAGAGGAAGGTGCTAACTCGTTCCTGCCCGGAGCTGAATCCATGTGCAGACGTAATCATTCCCAGACCGGGGCTGCTCGTTCACTGAAACTTCTATGGGAGAAACGTGGAGACGGTGCTTGGTGGCAGGCGTTCCGAGGTTGATAGTAACATGCAGTCGGAGAAGTAAACTTGCCCAACTCCAGGCACTGGCTCTGTTTTGCTCTTCAGAGAGCGCTGTCCCCATGGAAGTGAGGGAAGTGGCTGTTGTTTAGTTCGGGGGACGAGGCTACCTCGCCTTGTATCGCGTATCCTTTGTCCCAGCGAAGCTGGAGCTCCCCCCAGAATAATGCAATCCCACCCCTAAGTGAAACGAGGTACAGAGACAGGAACTTTTTGTTTCTATAATGGGGAAAAAAAAAAAAGGAAACACGCTGTAATTTAATATTGGGGAAAGTTGAACCAACACAGGTCCCCATCTGCTTGAGAAAATAAGGGACCGGCAAGGGCGCGTAGTTCCTGGAGGACAGTGGCCACGGCCTCCCGCCTTCCCAAGCCCCGGCCATGCATCGCGCTTGGGAGCCGCTCCCCAGGACTCGGGACGTCCCTGCTCCAGGTGTCCCGGCAAGGGTCCTCTGTGTGTGCAGCCGAACATGGGCGTTCAGAAACTGCGCACCTCCCCGGGCTGTCCAGGGTGAAGGCGTTTTGAACCATATATTTTATTGCAAAAATCACTCAATATATCTCAGTTATTCAATGTTCAAAGTAATTCTGAAAAATGCATCTTTGTGCCATTCAGTCAGGAAGCCACAGGCAGTCTAAATAGTCTCTCTAGTACCTGATGTGGGTGGCTTTTGAGTCCCCCACTCCCAGCCCCCCAACAAAATTATCAGACTGTCATCAGTAGGCTTTGGTTCTAAATTAAGATTTCTGCCTCTGGATTTTCATCGTCCACATGAAGAGAACCTTCGATCTTCTTGAGGAAAATTGGCCTTTTTAACTCCGAAGAATGTACTGGCTGATTGTCTTCCTCCCTCCCTCCTTCCCTTCCTCCTTTCCTTCCTTCCTTCCTTTCTGGGTCTAGAGACTTTGTGCACAGTATCAAACTATGTTTATTTTCAGTGCCTCGACTCTGCATAAAGTCGCATCCCTTTCCTGGAGCAAATATTTCAGACTCGTTTCCAGAAGAGCGTCCTCACGGTCTTTTCTGCTTCGCCTGACTGAATCCCACCTGTCCTTTAAGACTTGGCTCCTTTGTCATCTCCAAGAGGCCTTCCCGGGGCTATGGTTTTGTCCCTCCCCTTGGTTGCCATGGCTCCCTATGTCAAGTTATGGTGTTGCATTCATCACACAGTCTTTAAATGGTCAGCTCTCCCCCTCCCCCGCCTTGAGGGAAGGAGCTGTGTGTTTCTCATCTCACCATCCCCAGGGCCTAGCACAGTGCGTGGTACCTGGTGAGCGGTCAGTACATGTGCCCTAGGCAGATGGGTGGGGAAGCCCGGAGAGGATGGACCCCGCGCCTTTACTGTGACATGGGTCTCTGGGCCTGTCATGTGTGGACCCCTTCTCTGAATAATGGTTTTGACTGCATAAAATAAATGAATGAGAGTACAAAACAATTATATTATAGTTATCGAAATATCTTAAAATTGTGATATATATAATATGTACATCTTTATTAACACATTAAATAATAAGATATAATAGCAGTCAGAATTAGTATTGTAAATTTGTAGTGATGAGCATAAGTTACTTTCTGTTATCTCCAACAACTTGACTGTCATTTTAAAATGTCCATAATTTTATAGATGACAAAATATAAGTATTACTAATACTACTGTGGTTTGTTGCCTGTATTCACAATTGAAGGAAATACTAAATTATAGTTAGAAGTTAGCAAAAATAAACATGTAATATTTTTTCCATCCAAGTTTACATTACACCACACGCACCCCCCCCCGCCTCTAACCATTGACCGTCATGGACCTATAGACCTGTGGAATCAAAGGCACTTAGTATTGATGGGGTATGAGAAGGGTAACAGAGGAGTCTAAGGTTAATTCTCTGTGTTAGACTTGGTGACAAGATAGGGAATATGGGAGGAGAAGCAAGTGGTGGGAGATGGTGGATAAAGTAGTCATTGGGTACCTGCTTGTGATACCTGTGGGACATCAAGTGGGCAGGAGCTGGATATGTGGGCATGAGGCTTGGGAGAGTGGACTGGGTTTGATTTGGGAGCGAAGAGGATGTCTCCGAAGCCCCGAGCTTGGGCAGTAGTGACCTACGAAGTATGCAGTACAAGGAAGGCTGATCTGGAGAAACAGCTTGAAGGTTGGGAGGAAGGAGAGGAGCTAATGAATAAGATGGAAGTGGAGGGGGAGGGGCAGGAATGAGAACCAGGATGGAATAAACCCAAGGGAGAGAGTCACCTGCACATTTTCGCCACCCAGCCCCAATCCTCGTGGGGGCCTCTGGGGTATGCGCTGTTTTATGAGGCACCTGGGGTGTCTGAGCAGCGTAGGGGGTCAGCATCCCTGTGTTCTGTCATTGTCTTGAACTATACGGGGGGGTGTGTCTCATTTACAGGAAAGTGAATTAGCATTTGATTTAGAAACTTGAAGTTTTCATTTAAAACTCAGGAGGGAAATTCTGAACTGCCGTCA